ATTTGAATCCAGGCTCTCACACTGTGCAACGTGAGGACAACTACTCCGTTTCACCGACTTCACAGTAGAAGCGGTCTTTCCATTAGTCTTATGGACAATCGTATCTTGAGCTGGATTTGAAGTAACTTCTTTCTGTTTCTTAACATTTCTTCTGGACTTTTTCTTTACCATTGTTAGAAACAATATATGTAGAATGAAGCTCACAGATAAGGTACACCAATAACAAAATACTTGACTTTCTGAAACAGGGAAATTCCTCCTTAGTTCATTAACTAAAACCTGGTAAACAAGAAGAATTGGAACCCAAAATGCAGAAGATGACAAAAAACAAATGTACTCTGAGCGTTAAATCATGAGGTTACTTAACAAATCTGTAGGAAATATAAAGTTTATAAACGAATAATTGGTACTATTAACGGAGAGCAGGCAAATGCGGCATGACACTGGCGTCAAGGATAGATATACGGGACCGAACTTTAGCCAGCTCTCAGCATCGCTGCCTCTTCCCAACCAGCCGTAGGTCTCACGGTGAAACGTCCTTCTGGCAAAACGCCAGTTAAAACGTTGCTTGAAATGTTATTCAGATATGCTAATTGTTGGTAGTTTTGTTTTTTTTTTTTCTTGTAGTTATTTGTTATTTGAATTTTTAATTGGAGAAGTCAGTTTGGCATTAGTGAGATGTGGTGAGAATTAAATTCAGCTTGCTAATGCTTTTTGAGTGTCAGTTTTGTCTTCTCAAGAAAGTTACATACAATACGGTTCTAAATGGATAGTTGTCTGACATGTTTAATCTTTAGCTTTGATGCTCCAATGATAGGCTAAATTAATTCAACGTTTCTGTATATCAAAGCGTTGGTTGTACGTCTAAAGCGGTTCTAGTTCTTTTTTTTTCCTCGGCCAGGAAAGAAGTAAATGCATGAGTGTAAATGAATTAGTTGCCTTATATTCTGTTTTAACATTTAGAGCGATATAAGAATAAAAAAAAGGCAGTAGCTTTAGCCCTTATTTGGAAAGCTGGTGATCGTGCATCGAAGCGACTTTAGACGTTTATGTAATGAAGGACCGTATTTTTCGCAACCAAATGACTGTGATTAGAAGTTAGATTGGAACCAAAACATGAATTGAGCATTTAGTGAAATAGCATCTGACAGAGTACCTGGGGATTGATTTTTTTTGCTAGTTTTATTTTTTAAAAGTTACAGTTACTAAAATTCATTATGATTAATTCATCATGGCAGCTTTGTTAGTCTGCCAAAACTTCTAGAAAACTTTTGTTAGAGGCCTGTTAAAGCGTTTTAAATTCCAGGTTAGAAACGAAAAATCTGTTTTAACCGCTGTGCTATGGTAGTACAGTAACAAATCTGTATTTATTTTGTTTGGAGTTTCTTGAATTCCGTCTGCATAAGAAGTTTTTTTTAAATTGATTGAATTATTTTAAAGCATATGCGTGATTGACTGATCAGCTTTTCAGTTTCAGAATCATACTAATTCTGCAGAAAAAGACTTGTTGTCAAGGTGATCGTTGCACTTGTAGACTGAAAACGTTGTTTTCCTTGACAGATATCACTTTATTTTTGGACTTGAAAACTGATTTCCATTATTTCCGGAAGTCCCGTGAATTTTTTTTCATTCTTGGTTCTTCTGCCAAATATAATTAATTCCTGGTGCAGCAAAAGGCATAATAGTCAAATTCTGGAACATTTTTTAGGTAGTTTAAGGAGGGTACAGGTGAGGTCATTTGCTACAGGGGCCATGATTTTTGGACGAGTTTATGAGGCAGGGAGCATTCACTTCTCAAAAGCTACATAGCGGGACGCTGTTTCAGGAGGTTAAAGATTGCAAGTTTTTCGTTTCAAGTTCAGATGTTGGTCATGAAGAGAGTTTGCATAGAAGGAGTGTTTTAGTCTACTAGTGTGCGTAGGCTAGTGAACAACTAAGATCACTAAAACATATCCGGAACATTTTGAACAGCAGAAGATACACTTTTACGATTTTTAGGAGGAATTTTAATGAACGGTTACCTCTTTAAATAAGTTGCGTTGGGTACCTGAGAGAACCTCTTACATATGTTTTGATTACTTTACGTTGCCAAAACGTCTAGTTGTGGTGATCGTTGAACGAAGAAGACAGATAAAGGTATTAATTATCATGGATTGATTAATAAGTTATTTTACTATTACTTTAATTTATACTTCCATGACAATTTCTCTGCAGATTTTTTTACGAATTGTTCCTTCTGATGCGGTCGTCGTAGCATAAGTCTTCTGCGGAATTTGAACTCCATTGAAAGTTTTGTTTGACCTTTTAAAAATCTTTTATCACTGTGATTACTTGATACTTGTAATTTCTTTTGGCTTTTTAACAGCAAATTCAGACAATTTTCAGCGACCACTGTAGTAAACTTTAACACTTTCCAAAATTTTAAATGCCGAATATGAAAAGTTACAAGTGTCTGTAGTGTGTTGTATTATTCTCTTCAATTTTATGTTGTTATATTTAAAGTGTAAGAGCTATTTTGAAGGTTCGATTTCAACGTTTTTATGAAATTTTGTACCAGTATTTCCTCTCCTTGATGGAATGTTCGTTTTTTAAGGTTGGAGCTAGATTTTTCCCTCTAAATGGCTGCAACCGCAACAGATACCGACTTGAAAACTTTTAAAGATTTTTTAATTCAGTATAATAATGTCACAGAACAATGTTTTGGTCACTGCATTACGGATATGACCACCAGGTTTGTTTCATATACCTTCTTTCACTTCCCAACTCTATTTTGCATATTCAAGAAGAGCGTCATTTCTAAAAGAAACATCATTCCCGCCTGAATTTCTTTTATGTAAATTTACTTTCTTTCTTCTCTTATACTTTTAGTTTTATCAGTAATATTGTAAATTATCACTGCATTATTATCATTAATATTTTTAATATTATTATTACTACAAATACTGCAGATGTTACTAATATTATAAATGTTATAAATACTACAAATGTATTTGTATTTATAGTATCATAAATATTTGTATTTACAATCATATTAAAAATAAAATTAACATTAACATTGGCAGTAATATTAATATACACGATATCAATGTTACTAATATTAATAATATTAATATTATTAATGTTATTAACAATACTAATAATGTTAACAAAATTAATGGTATTAATGATGGTAATACTGATGTTAATGTTACTGATATCATCAACATTATTGATTAATGATATTAACAAGGTCAGTAATAATAGTAATAACAACAATACTAATAATACTAAGAATA